TGTAGGTGATGGTATCAAAGTGGACAGTATAGTTCTGGAACTACACTATACAGTATAATGTTAAATGATGTGTGTGATGGTAACCCTAAGGCAATTTCCCATATCAAAGAAAGGCTCAATTTGACTCAACACATTTAAATTATGTCTAAGTACATTAATATTTTTCCAAACTGACAAAAGGCACTTCCTAAAACCAGAGTATATATTGCCTGAACATTTCAAGTAAATGTATTCTGAAATGTCTACAAATAACCTAGCAGTCTATGAAATCTGAAAATAAGCTAATTAGAAGTTATACAGAAACTTCCCTCCATTCTCTGTGCTAATGTCTCACATATATAACTCTCCATTTTTCTAGACATTATGTTGCTCATGGATGCTTGGAAATCTTCAAAGCTCTTTTCAATAGCTGATGATAAATAAATAACAAAAAACCAATCTCACACGCAGGGACTTTGTGTCATTACACATTTACCTTTTTTTATCTATTTACTTAGATACAGGTTGAGCATCCCCAATCCAAAACTATGAAATCTGAAATGCTCCAAAATCTGGATTTATTAACACCATGACACCACATGTGGAAAATCACACATGACATCTTTGCTTTCTGATTCAATGTATACAGTTTGTTTCACTCATAAAAATTATTTAAAATACTGTATAAAATTATCTTCAGGCTCTGTGCATAAAATGTACATGAAATAAAACTGAATTTCATGTTTACATTTAGGTGCCATCCCCAAGACATCTATTACGTATATGCAAATATTCCAAAATCAAAAAAGAAAGAAAGAAAGAAAATCAAAAATCCCAAACACTTCTGGTCCCAAGTATTTCCTATAACGGATACTCAACCTGTATCACGAAAATCCCTATTAATGAAAGCACCTTTGAATATACATGGTACCGTTTATATTCTAACTATCTGTTAGTAAAAATTTATGTTACTCAATTGATTCTGAGTGCTCCATGAATAATAAATTTCACTCTAAACTGAAAAGAGTTTAAGCTTTATTAATAACCTTGAACAAGTAACATTATTAAATACCAAATGTATATGGCACGAAAACATTAAGGCAATCTTTTTCTGCTTTTTGGTAGTAATGACCGGAAACCAATGGAAAAACAGGATGAATTACCACCTTACAACCTATTTTACAATTTATCCAAGAAGTTTAACACAATTTCATCTAATCAATTATTACAGCATGTTCCTATAAATACCATTTTAGTATAATGTGTTAAGGAATCTACATTATATGGAAATACTGAAAAAAAAAAATTTAACTTATAGAAAATGTAATTTGCCTGATACAGAGCATAAGCCTTCAATAGTATCCTCTGGAGGTCTTCTGCTTACCCTCTGACCCTCCAAAATTAGGTGCAAATTTTCAAAACTAATATTTCCCAATTTGTAACTGGACATTTTCAGTGGAATCTTAATGTCATTAAGTATTTTTTAATGACAAATTTTCATTTGTAGCAAATAGTTTCAATCTATCAAACCCTTTACAATTTTAAAGTATAAAATGGCTTATCTTTTTTTGTGCTTCAAGTAGATTTTACAAATAGGCCATTTGAAAACTGCTTTTATTCTTCCACATTTTCCTGTATCTGTTTCCCTTGCATATACAAGCTCAACTTGCCTTCAGGTTCTTTGGTGTGGTGGTAAGCATCAATTTTCATCACATTTTCTGCTTCAACATAAAACAAAGATCAAGAATTCAAAAATTAACTGCCAAGAGAAAAGTTTACTTCAGAAAGACTTTAATTTCATCTATTAACAATTCACTTTAGGCTGGGTGCAGTGGTTCACGCCTGTAATCCCAGTACTTTGGAAGGCCAAGGCGGGCAAATCATGAAGTCAGGAGTTCAGACCAGCCTGGCTAAGAGTCTCTACTAAAAATACAAAAATTAGCCAGGTATGGTGGCACACGCCTGTAGTCCCAGCTACTCAGGAGGCTGAGGCAGGAGAATCACTTGAACCCATGAGACGGAGGTTGCAGTGAGCCAAGATCATGACATTGCACTCCAGCCTAGGTGACAGAATAAGACTCCGTCTCAAAAAAAAAAAAAAAATTGCTTTGGTTACAGCAAAGTAAAATAAAAGCATTCACAGAATTTATAATTTTAATTTTACCATCACAAAATGCAAAACAAAATCCTCAAAGCTATAACATTATATATCTACTGAAAAGAATTTTTCTATTTATAAAATATTGACTATTTCTAATCTTTTGCAGTAAAATGCTGAAAGCAGCCAGGATGATAGAGGCATGAATTAGGAACCCAAGCGCTTTAAAACTTAATATGGCTACACACCCACTAAAATGGCTAAAATTAAAGAGACTGACAATATCAAAATGCTGGCAGGGATGCGGAGCAACAGGAACTCCCATATATCTTCATTGATGGGATAGTAAAATGATACAAGCATTTTTTAGTATATGTGCAGCTGAAGCCGGCTCTACAGAAGCTTTTTTTTTTTTTTTTTTTTTTTGAGATGGAGTTTCACTGTTGCTCACCCTGGGCCCGATCTCGGCTCACTGCAATCTCCACCTCCCAGGTTCAAGCGATGATTCTCCTGCTTCAGCCTCCAGAGTAGCTGGGATTACAGGCATCCATCACCACGACCAGCTAATTTTTGTATTTTTAGTAGAGACAGAATTTCACCATGTCAGCCAAGGCTAGTCTCAAACTCCTGACCACAGGCAATCCACCCACCTCAGCCTCCCAAAGTGCTGGGATACAGGCATGAGCCACCGTGCCAGGCTCACAAACATTTTTAAAAACATAGTTTCTCAGAAAATTAAAACATACAATTGCCCTATGACCTACTCAAACCAAATCTAAGTATACAGCCATGAAAGATAAAAGAGTAAGTCCACAAAAAACTTGTATAAGACTGTTCGTAGTAACTAACTGGAAACACCCCAGGTGACCCTCAACAGTGAATAGGTTAATTATGGTATATACATACAGTGGAAAACTACATAGCAATAAAAAGGAACTACTGATATACGCAACAAACACGAAACTCAAACATATTATACTGAGTGGGGAAAAAAAAAAAAAAACTCCTTACCCAGAAAAATACGCACAGTACTATAGACTCTACAGGATCCCACACGTTAAGTTCTAAAACAGGCAACTCCCTAATTTACAGCACAAAAAAAAAAAAAAAAAAAAAAAAAAAAAAAAAAAAAAAAAAAAAAAAAAAAAAAAAAAAAAAAAAAAAAAAAAAAAAAAAACGCGACGTGGTTGATGGAAGGTAAAGTGACTAAAATGACCCGGAAAAGGCAAGAAAAAACTTTCTAATCAATTACAATGTTCTATATCTTGATGGGGCTTGGGCTACACAGGTGTAAGCATTTGTGAAAACTCATGGAATTACAACCATATGCATTTCATTGCATATCAAAATTAGGTCAAAAACGTAAAAAATTAAGTTGAATATGGGCAAATAAGTTCACATCGCTGAAGTGACATATACTGGTGTCATCTACTGATACATGCAACTTACTCTGAATTGCTCCCCCAAAATAAAATGGATTTATAACCAATTATAATACAGTAAAATGCTAATTGTAGATGACGGCCATATGTGTGTCCACTGCCCAATTCTTTCAACTTTTCTGTATGTCTGAAAATTAAAAAAAATGGTAAGGAAAAATTTCACAAGCATTGGGAGAAAAAAAAAAAAAAAAAAAAAGGTGATAATTCAGTTGGTGGTAAAAGTTTCTGTTATTTGATGTTACACAGCTCACTGCCTCACAAAACACACTACCTTCGGAATTCGCTAAACCAATACCCCAATCACTTACTGTCCTTGGGGAAACTTATAGGTACATTTCAGGAACTGTTATTTCCTATAACAAACTGTTCACATTGCTTGAGATATTCAGCGATTAAGTCAACAATTATAGAAAATACGACATATTCAACAGCACACTAAAATTATTTGTTAAATTCCACCAAGGTTCTTAATTAACAGCAAGATTTGTATTCCTGAACAAAGTTTAAGTAACATTCTCCAATTAACTTCAATTTTGTTTTATTTGGTTGCAACGCCAATATCAACATTGCTCTAGCCCCTCTAAAATCAAACAAAACCCGGACGACAGACATACTAAAAGGGAAAGAGCAAGTCATCAATGAATGAAAGTCATTCACATTTCTCCTTAAGCCTAGTACTATTATTATTACTTAACACGGAGCTAAAAACGGTTTCTACGTCATGATTTTTTTTAAAAAAGGTTGCAAGGTGGGAAAGATTTCAGGAGTTAAAATGCAGAACTAAATGTACACGTGCACCTCACCCCAAAACCTCCCTTAACAAACAGGTAGGTAAAACAATGAGGATCCCATCCACCCTCTTTTTTAATAATTCATTAAACAAAATCGCAGCTTGAGCTAAAGCGAACCCTCGTCCCCGCCCAGCCTCCACCCCGCCCGGAGCCAGGCGGTGAGTCCCTTTCCTTTGTGAACAGTTGGAGGAGAGGCGACTGAGGGCGGGGAGCTGGGGGAGAAGGCTGAGGGTCGACGGATGCTAGAGAAGGAAGGCTCCGAGAAAAGCAGCGTCGGCCCGTCCCACAAACAGGCCGCGCCGCCACGCCACAAACCACTGCGGTGTCCCAAGGCGCAAACCCACGAACTTGGGGTGTGATCTAATTTGGGACGACGCCCGGGAGAATGGCCGAGGGCACCTCGGAGGTCGACCCCTCTCCCATGCCCTTCCAAAAGGTCTCCAGGGGGGGGGGGGGGGGGGCGGAGGTCCTGCAGCCACCCCCAATCCGGGCCGAGCCCCAGACGGCCTTACCTGCTGGACGGAGCTATTCTCGGGCACAGCAAATTCCTCCTTCTCCTTCGGAGTCTTCACGGTGACTTTCATAATTTTGGGCTCCGCAGAGGCAGCGGCCGCTGAGACGCCGGCACCTTCGGCTCCGGCGGCGCTATCCTGGGAGCCCGGAGGGCCGCCGCTTTCACCACTCTCAGCCATGGCGGCGGCGGCGGCGGCGGCGGTGACTCAGGCGAGCAGGAGGGAGCGGGTGAGTGAGGAGGAGCCGGCAGACTCAAGAGCCGGCAGGCCTGGGCAGCGAAGAATGGAGAACACGCCGCCTCAGTAGCAACAGGCGCAGGGCGACCCTAACGGGTGTGGGGCCTCGGAGCTCAGTGCAGGCTCCGGCGCAGGCCCGGGTCAGGCGCTGGGCAGCCGCGGTGTGTTCAGGCGTCGCTCGCTCACATCCACATCCGCAGCAGCCACCGCTTCCTCCTCCCTGCCCCTTCCCCCACGTCCCTCCACCGGCGCCGCGCGGAGCACGCCGGGTAACGCGCCTGGCGGCGTCGCCGAGTCATCCCCGTCTGGCGCCGCTTTGAGCTCAGCCTACGTGCCTTTTCCTTTCCCGCTCCATTGCCCAAAGTGTAGGCGAAGCCAGCGTGAAGGACTGAAACCAAAATGGGGCGGGGTAGGTCAGTTCATTTTTTTTTTCACTCTCTTCACCAAAAACTGAATCACAGTTTGTAGTTAAGCACTGTAACGGCGCGCCGAGATGACGTCACGGTTAGCGAAATTACTAGAAAGGGACCACTGGGCTCTGCGGCCGCTGATGCGCTTGCGCGCTCGCAGTCTAGGTAGTCTTCCCACCTTACCTCATGCGCTGCTGGCCCGTGCTCATCCTTCCGCGCTTTCACGGTCGCCTTGGCCTGCCTTGCCTTTCTGCGTTCCCAGCTGGGAGGAGGGTCTGGTGATAAAATAGCGGCGAGGTATTTTGTTATTTTAATACATTTAGCGTTTGATATTTGGAGGGCTCGTATTGCCCAATGCGGGGGAGTTGGGGTAAGTTAATGGCGGAAAGGCCCTCAGCACAACTAACCGAAAATGGAGTAAACGGCCGTGACTGCCCTGCGCAATCCCGCGGAGTCATTGCTTCATGGCCAGAGCTTATTTACTGCCCTCAGGTCAGCCTGGTTTGGTCAGACGATCGATCAGGCGACCTGTATTGACAGTGGCCTGCTGCTATCATGACAGCGGCGGCCTCTGCTGCTGTGATGACAGCTGTGCGCGAGCGCCCCCAGATTCTCTGTGAACTCGATTTCCTACAGTGTGTGGGGCCGAACAGGGTGTCCGAGGAGTGTCCACCCAACTGGGACAATTAAATATAGCTAAGGTGTTCACTTTATATTCTGTCAGATTAAGTTACTGCTCTATTTCAGGCTTTAAATGGCATTAAGGATAGTTCTAAAATTATTTTCAGTGTAATACAGATAGAACTAAGAAATAAATTATATCTGAGAATCCTAATTTGAAATGACGTCATTTGCTTTTAAAGATGACTTGCAAGGAATGTGCAAACCAGCACATTAACTATATTAATCAGTGTTGCACAATTTAAATCCTGACAGCCCACTGTGACCCAAATCCGCAAAGATGCATTCTGCATTTCTGCTCCTAAGCCGTCCAACCGTGTTCTGAGAATAAATACTGTTACATAAACACGACTTTTTAGCAGAGCTCTATGGAATCTGGATCTAAGAGAATTCTGAGGATATCAATTTCAATATAGAATCATTTGATATCACCTAAATTTCTGGCAGCGCGGCTCAAAAACAAGGCCTTCTGCTGAATGAAGGATGACTACTTGGTTATGTCTAGGTGTGAGGTAGTCACTGCTTCTCAAGGTAGAAAGTGTCACAACTGGACAAGCAAGCATTTGGAATTTCTTCCGTACGTCTAAATAAAATTTTTCTTCAACTTCATTAGCTCCCCCATTACTTGTTATCCCCTGTCATGCTGTGTCTTACCTGCACACTTTGCCTAGGCTGCCTTCCTGTACCTAGAATGACTTTCCTCTTGCCTTCACCTGTCTAACTTCTACTTATCCTATATCACATTCCCCAGGAAGACTTCACTCCCTACCATTTAGAGGTACGTTTTTCTCTTGATTATCCGGTAAATACCCTGTATGTGTGTGTGTGTCTCTCCCTGCATTTATGGACTTTGCAATTACCTGTGTCTACATTATTGTCTAAAAACTTTTGATGTGTGTGACACCATAAGGTAATAAGATTTATCTGTAAGAAGATACTGTATATTTATTGATTGCTATGGCACTTCTTAAGATATAATCCTGACCTGTAAGAGACATTGGAGGTGAGGGGACTATGGTCTAAATCAGAGATTAGCAAACTGTCTGGAAGGACTGCATTGTAAATATTAGGTTGGTGCAAAAAAAAAAAAAAAATGGCAAAAACCCCAATTATTTATGTAGCAATCTAAAAGTTTAGGCTTTGTGGTCCACAGGATCTCAGTCTAAAATATTCTGTTCTGCCCTTATATCACAGAGGAACTGTAGACAATACATACATGAATAATCGTAGCTGTGTTTACTGAAAACCCCTACTTGCAGAACAAACACAGACATAGAATCTGATTTGGCCCACAGAAGAGAGTTTACCAACCCCAAGTCTAGATGTTTATTTGTGGCATTTTCTTCCGAGTGGTTTTTGTTTGTTAAGCGGTCTGTCTGGAGAAAATTTTAAGAGCATATTTTATCACAATTAATGTCCCAATACTGTATAATACAGCATTGAATTGAACGTGCAAGAATAATAAGACTCAGTTTCTGCCGTCAAAAACTTAGAGTGATAGTTGGATGGTGGGGGTGAGGGATGGGAGGGAGATTGGCAGTGATGTGCTGGTAAATGACTAATAACCAATCCTTCTGAAAATATATTTGCCACTTTCCTTGATGCAAATGCTTACCAACTTGAGATCATCTGCCTCACAAAACACCTGAAATTTTACCAGTAAGCCCTCACAAGCCAGTATGAGCCAGCTCCAACTGAAGAAGTTTTATTTTGAGAAAATATGTTATTCAGAATTCAAGTATATTGATAGGTTATTCACATGATAGAATAATTCTTTTTTGATAAAATGATTCAGTCAATCAATAAGAATTCATTGAGTATCCTCTGACAAACTTTAATCCTCTAGTCCTGTCCAGGAACATACCTTTAATACAAGGTAGTACATGTGTCATGTAAGTGATATAAATAACATGCTTTATCTTGTCACTACCTTACACAAAAATCTATCTTCAGTTTCCCACTGCCTAGAAAATAGAGCCAAAGCTTCTTAACTAGGTCTTCCACAGCTAACTCCTGGTGTTCACTCCTGTTGCTCTCAATATATACACTCCAGTCCAGTCAGATACCTTTATTACTGGAAGCACTTGTACATTATACAAGTCCTTTGTACACTGTACATATGTAATATGTACATTGTACATATATTACCCTCTCTGGAAGCACTTGTACATTATACTTTTCTTACTTCTGAACATTCCTTCAAGTCACTACACCTACCTTCTAGTACCCATTATTGTCACCTGCTCTCTAAAACTGTCCTTGAATACCCAAGCTACAGAATCATTTCATTTGTCTGACCTTCCGTCATAATTACCTGCACAATTCACTTGACCATTCATCACTTGTAGCACAGCTTCTATTATCTTAAACCGTTTCTCCTGCTACCAGTCTACTTTACACCCTCATTAGTTCTGGCTTATATTACAGCAGTAACCTCCTACTGATTCCTTTGCCTTAATCTAAAGTCTCCATCCTGAACTCTTGTTTTCTAGTAATGCCATATGTTATCCTAGAACAAAGCTTTGATCGTGACATCTGCTTGGAAATTTCTAGTCACTCTCACCAAAGTGTTAGGAGTAATGTCTAAGCTTTGTGGCATAGTGTCCAGGGGCTTCTGTGACCCAAAGACCTCGTTCTTCACTCATATTGTATTCTCTACCAGACTGGTCAACTAAGCTCTCCAAGCATGTCTCTCACTTTCCAGCTTCAACTGCAAGTAGAAATTCTTCCCCCTTATTTTGACCCCATCGTTTTACCTATCCTGCAAGACTCAAATGTGACATTACCTAATAACCCTTTTTGGATCTGAAATAGTCTTTAAATCCCATCTATTCCCATATAGCTTTATTACCTTTTTGATGTCAGTTACTACATTCTGCCTTGTATCATACTTCTGTGCTTATCTCCTTTATTAAAGGCCTTGAAAACATGGATCAAGTCTTAATCATCGTTTATACCAGAGGTCCGCCGCACCTGGGCCATGGACCAGTACCAGTCTGTGCCTGTTAGAAACTGGGCTACACAGCAGGAAGTGAGTGACAGGCGAGCAAGCATTACTGCCTGAGTTTTAACTTCTGTCACATCAGCAGCAGCATTAGATTCTTACAGGAGGCTGATCCCTATTATGAACTATGCATGTAAGGGATCTAGGTTGCATGCTCCTTAGGAGAATCTAATGCCTAATGATCTGAGAAAGAAGAGTTTCATCCCAAAACCATCTCCCCTTGACCTCCAGTCCATGGAAAAATTGACTTCCACAAAACCAGTCCCTGGTGCCAAAAAGGTTGGGGAACTGCTGGTCAATGTAAAAGTAATTGTGGTTTTTGCATTGTTGGAATTTGTCATTTGTTATTGAAATGCATTCTTAAACAAATGTGGTTATGTTATACATCATTTTAATGTGCATTTCTTTATTTTTTTGCTAATGACTTACTGCTATTTATATTATTTTAGACTGTGGAAATGATGTTAGACATAAAACAAATTCAAGCAATTTTCTTATTCGAGTTCAAAATGGGTTGTGAAGCAGCAGAGACAACTCACAACATCAACAGCGTATTTGGCCCAGGAACTGCTAATGAGAATGTACAGTGCAGTGGTGGTTCAAGAAGTTTCGCAAAGGAGAGGAGAGCCTTGAAGATGTGGAGCATAGTGGCTGGCCATTGGAAGTTGACAACAACCAATTAGGAGCAATCATCAAAGCCAGTCCTCTTACAACTACACGAGAAGTTGCCAAAGAACTCAACGTTGACCATTCTGCAGTCGTTTGGCATTTGAAGCAAATTGGAAAGGTGAAAAAGCTTGATAAGTGGGTGTCTCATGAACTAAGTGAAGATTTTAAAAATCAGCGTTTTGAAATGTCATTTTCTCTTAATCTACGCAACAACAGTGAACCGTTTCTCGATCAGATTGTGACGTGCCACAAAAAGTGGATTTTATACGATAACCAGTGACGACCAGCTCAGTGGTTGGACCAGGATGCTCCAAAGCACTTCCCAAAGCCGAACTTGCACCAGAAAAAGGTCATGGTCACTGTTTGGTGGTCTGCTGCAGGTCTGATTGACTACAACTTTCTGAATCCTGGGGAAACCTTTAATCTGAGAAGTATGCTCAGCAATTCGATGAGATGTACCAAAAACTGCAATGCTTGCAGCCAGCATTCGTCAACAGAAAGGGCCCAGTTCTTCTCTATGACAGTGCCCAACTGCATGTTGCACAGCCAGTGCTTCAAAAGTTGAACGAATTGGGCTACAAAGTTTTGCCTCATCCTCCATATTCACCTGACCTCTCACCAACTGACTACCACTTCTTCAAGCATCTCGACAACTTTTTGGAGGGAAAATGCTTCCATAGCCAGCAGCATGCAGAATATGCCTTCCAAGAGTTTGTCGAATTCCAAAGCATGGATTTTTATGCTACAGGAGTAAACAAACATTTCTTGTTGGCAAAAATGTGTTGATTGTAATGGTTCTTATTTTGATTAATAAGATGTGTTTGAGCCTAGTTATAATGATTTAAAATTTACAGTCTAAAATCACAATTACTTTTGCTCCAAGCTAATACCACACAGTGCCCAGTGCAATTTCTTGGCATGAAACCATTTATTGTTGAGCTGAATTGTTGAACTGTCATGTTTTCCACCAGAGAGGAAACTCCTTTAGAGCAATAGATCATATTTTACACTCCTTTGTCTCCCAAAGTTTATAGTATAGTGACATAGATGGATGATTGATTAATTCAAAGAATGATAGATGTATACATACATGCTTTAGAACTTACTTGCTTTACAATAGAAGTTCAGAGAAAGGAAACATTATTCATTCATTCACTGCCTGGGACAGGGGAAGGTGGAAAACTAAGAGGTTTTCCTTAAGGAATGGATATGATTTTTAAGTGTGTTGAGAGGGACAGTGTCTTGAAAAAGAGTTCATAATGGGAAATAGAAACTCTCCTAGAATACCAGTCTCAAAGTGGGTCCATAGTCTAGGAACAATTGGAACACTTCATAAATATCTCTAGGGCTACTTCAAAATCAAAGGGAATAAACTTCCAATTGTTTCCGAGCATGAGGGCTGGAGAAGAGGTGGTGGTAAAAAGGGGTGTTTATTAATTTGCCAACTAAAACTAGACACTGGGTAGGAGGTGCAAATATTAGATTGCTGCAAAAGTAATTGCGGTTTTTGCTATATTTTAATGACAAAACTGCAGTTTCTTTTGCACCAAACTAATATATAGCCACTACAAACTTTGGATAAAAGTTCCTATGTAGGATCCCACATTTTTCTTGGTGCTGTGCCAAGCACTGGCTAACACAGAAGCAAAGAGGGGGCTGCAGCAACACAAGGTAAGTAGACATACCAGCCTCTGAAGAACACAGCTAGGGCTCTTCGTTTTTTCACTTTTTATTTTGAAGTAATTATAGGAAGTTGCAAAAAGAACAGAGTCCTGTGTACCCTTGCATCTCCCAGTGGTGGCATTTGATATTGTTGCATAATATCAAAATTAGGAAATTGACTTGTTAACTAGACTACAGGTCTTATTTGATTTTTGTCATATTTTAACCTGCATTCGTTTGCGCATTTGTGTGTATGCATGTAACTATGCAGTATGCCATGCATAAATGTATGTAATCATCACTGCAGTCAAGATTCAGAATTATTCTATCACCAGTCTATTTTTAATCCTTCCTATATTACAGGGCTTTTTGACCTTGATACTATTGACATTTGGGGTCAGATCATTTTATGTTGGGGGGGGCTTTTCTGTGCATTGTAGGATGTTTAGCAGAATCCCTACTCACTAGATGTCAGTAGCAGTCCCACCCTATCCCTGTCATGATAATCAAAAATGTCTTTAGACTGTGCCAGATGTCCCATGGGAGGCAAAATTGCCCCTGGTTGAGAACCACTGCTGTAGAGAGAGCTGGTGGAATCATCCCTACCATCTGCATCTTTCCTCTTATTTCCCCTGTTACAAAGTGAAGTAGCAAATGTTATCAAGTATCAAAGAATGATATTTCACTACAAAGTCTTTTTAATTCTGAGTCTATCGGAATACTCAAACTTCAGTGTGAATTTTTATCAGTAGATGGTGAGTATTCCCAGGATTCCATTATAAATTTAATCTCAGTTACTGCATTTCACCTGCTCATCTCTTATCAAGAGTCTGGAATTTACTCAGGTCTTCTGAAAATATTTGAAGACTATTCTTTTTTGACCTCTCTTACAAACAGGTTACTGCTGATAACCTAAGACAGACACAGTCCCTAAAGCAAGCAGAAGTGGTAAGACTGGTTCTCCTGGAAACATGAATAGAAGGATATATATTTTGATAAGTAGACTCAGCCTTGGTCTTTTTTTGTGTAAAACTCTAAGCTTAGTGATTTCAGTGGACAAATTTTTTCAAAACATATTTGGAATGTGTTTCTTGAGTTAGGAGGTTAGCTTATGTGAAGAGTATGCCATCATGTATAAACTAAGTAAATGAGCCATGAGGAAATTATAGGTGCTTACTGAGGACAGAAAAGAAGGTTAGAAATTTTAAACGTCTGTAGTATGATGCCAATCATTGAAGAATTCCCCAGAGTGCTTCTGGGGGGAAAAAATACTTCTGGAAGCTGAGGGGTGTTTTAAAAAGAAAGTATTGTCTTCCCATCACTCACTGCATTTGAATAATTCTTAGCCTTTGTTCCCATTTGAGAATAGTCAATGAGTTTAAAGGTCAAGGCAGAACCTGTAGCTTATCTGAGTTGTTCTATAATCTGTCAAAGAATTGTGAAGGATCTGCGTCTCTACTTATAAGCTATCTATTTCATGAATACTAGCAGAAAACACAAGATTCCTACATGAGAAACAAAGGTGTTTGTTACAGCAATATCAGTGGCCAGCGTGTCAGCATTTTCTGGCATTATTACCCAAGCCCTAATTTCCACAGGGCAATACAAAGAGAGCTAGATGACACCTGTACATACAGTGGTTTGCATTATAGGAGAGGAAATCCAAACATGGGAAACACAAATCTTTTATAATGGGCAGTAAGCATGACTTCCCTTTGCTCTGTAAGAAGATACTTTATCTTCTAAGACTAGTCACTATAGAAATATCCTTGAAAAAATAGTCCAGGCTGGGTTTGGTGACTCATGCCTGTAATCCCAGCACTTTGGGCGGCTGAAGCGGGCAGATTGCTTGAGCTCAGGAGATCGAGACCAGTCTGGGTAATGTGGCGAAATTCCATCTCTACAAAAAATGCTAAAGCCAGGTGTGGTGGTGCAGACCTGTTGTCCCAGCTACTCAGGAGGCTGATATGGGAGAAGTGCTTGCACGCAGGAGATTGAGGCTGTAGTGAGCTGAGATTGTGCCACTGCACTCCAGCTTGGGTCATAGAGCAAGACTATCTCAAAAAAAAAAAAAAAAAAAATGACAATTGTCCAGAAGAAAGACAATGTATTAGTTTGCTATTGCTTCTGGAACAAGTTACCTTGAACTTAGTGGCTTAAAATGACACAGATTTATTAACATCTAGTTCTGGAGGTCAGGAGTCCAAAATTGATCTGAAAAGGCTAAAATCAAAGTCTGTGTTCCTTCTAGAAGTTGCAAGGGAGAATCAATTGCCTTTTCAGTTTCTAGAGGCTGCCCACATTTTTTGGCTTGTGGCCACATCACGCTAACCTCTACTTCATTGTCATATCTCCTCTGACTCTCTGCCTCCCTCTTTCCTTCATAAGGATTTTGTGATGATGTGGGGCCCACTCAAGTAATCCAGGATTCTCTCTTCATCTTAATATTCTTAATTACATCCTGCAGAGTCACTTTTGCATGTAAGGTAACATATTTTCTTTTTTTATTATTTTTTTATATTTATTTTTTTTTATGGTTAATGTGTGCATTACTGGGAACTATTCTTTAGAATATTAAGAGGTCTTTTTTTTTTTTTTTTTGAAAGAAAGAGAAAGAGAAAGAGAGAGAGAGAACAAAAGTCTTGCTCTATTGCCCAGCCTGGAATGCAATCTAAAAATAGATATTAAAAACCTCTTTTATGCCGATAATTG